TCCGACCACATTGGACTACGTACGTACATCTAAACTTCAACGTATGGTTCGCACGTGATGTCCTTTCATTTGAGACCTCTCCGCGTTAGTGATACTCGGTATAATTTCGATGTCGTATATAATACCAGAGCAAAGTTTCATGACTTTTACGGTTTGTAGTTTGTTTTAAAACCTTTAAGACTCGTGCTGTTTCCTTTGACGTCCAATCTTATCCTTTCCCATTCTGCCCACGCTATCCTATTGAATGTTCTATTGGACGTAATAGTAATTTTGATATGATTCATCAAGGTCGTCATCTGCACGTTCTTGGTCATGGTAACCATCGTTATTTTTATATGATTTTTTTTTTTTGTTCCGGAGCGCATCATTCCGTAAACACAATAAAACCTGTGTGTAAACGTATATGTCGCGTCCACCGAGGGTAATCTTATTCACCTCATACTTGACGTCTAACAACATGTCAATAACTTAACAGCAGGTCAGCTATATGTGCGTTTTATAAACGTTCGGTTCTACGATTATAATTAATACGTCACCGTATACCGTCGCTCTATTGCCAGTTATTGTTATATTATACGTGCTATTACACATGGCGGAAAATCACTGTGCAAAGTGCAGAATTGATGTAGATGACGCGACGAGAAACGTTATACCTATATTATAGTATACGGTGCAATAAAGCGATATTGGTTTCGCTCCCCATGCTCGGAAAGAAGTACCACGATAGTAATTATATAGGTCTAGCTATATGTATGACAGATAATTACAAAACGTTCTTTGAAATTACATATACGTCGTTTGGTGGTGCTCCGTAATATTTATTAAATTACAGTACGAATAAGTATGTATAGATGACTAGGTAAATATTTTACATTATACATATTGTACGTATTTCATAGAAACTCATACGCACCAACACATGCGAATGTATAAGCTCGCACAAGCACACATTTGATGAATCTTGAATTTCAAACAGTGTTCATAAATATGCAACATACGAATATATATATTTAAATAATATTATGTGTATATGACACCGAAACAATTCAAATGATTAGTTGAAATTAATTAAAATTTCCAACGGGTGTATTATAATATGCGGTATGCTTAAAATACGTCTCGAAATATTATTGTGCTTCAAAACAAATCGGCGTGCCATCGTGTGAAGTTCAAATTGGCATACAGTTTATAGTTGGAATTATTCAGTTTGACTTGTGTGTATATTTTAACCTTAAAATACAGCACCACCTGTACCTGTGCATACGTTATACAGGCATAAAACAATTTCGTTCATTCGCTGCGCTATATGTACACAAATACGCAAAAATCACCGGCCTTTACGATTGTCACGTTGTGTGGTCCTATACCTATGTACAAGCATAGGATCCCGTTGAAATATATTTAAAATAAATTGATCGCGGACAATATAACTTGAACGATTGCAATTGTTTCAAAATATGCGACGAGTACTTTTCAAGTCAAAAATATTACGTGCACCAATAAATTGTATACGTTTGCGTTTCTTTTACAAGCTCAGGTAACAGTAGTACGTTTACGCCTCAGTAGGTTTTATGTGTTTTCCTAGAAAGAAGAAAAATAACGCTGTTCAGGTCTATTTTATGGTGCTATAAATTCTTGTGAAACGATTATACTCGTTATTTGTATTTCTATGTCAAATAGTAATTTCATATTATCTTGGAACGGAACGGCGGTGGGACGTCGGACGATTGGATTTTGGTACTACGTTTCTTTATTAGATGACATTGTATACCTAAAAACCTTCACCGTCGGTTGAGTCCCGACAACGAGAGAGGCCACCCTGACCTTGTCAGGTGCAGCCCTACGTGTTTAAAATAATAAATTTATATATATGGGATAAACTAAGGGTAGGGTGGAGTACGTGCCTCTATAGCAAGTAGCTACGAAACACCACCAAATGTCCGAATAGAACGGGCCTCAGCAGGTGTGTTTGAGAGAAACAATGGGTTGTAGTCGATGACGATCAATTAACTATAGCATTGCTAACTGGTGACTGGACGGGTAATGGACTAGGCAGTTTATTTGTCCCTCAATATCAGCTTCGGTGTGGAATTTTACTCCGAGCAGGTCTGACAGTCGATATAAAATATATATATATATATACTCCTATCAATAGAAGTGAATGCAACGTCGCTGTAAAAGAAATAAAATTCCAGCCGTAGGCTGATCGTAGAACCATTGATGAACTCCAATAATCCCATGAGGATCACAAATCCCACTCTTTGAATAGAAGTTGTTTGTTTTAGGCGAGTTGAATCAATCTTTTTCATGCGATAAATCGATTTTTCGAATCTATCTCCATGATTCAAACTTTTAAAATATCGATTAATTTTTGTAAAGATCGATTTGAATCGTTCATCCAATATTAAATGCGAATCGATTCATTATTGCTTGTTGATCCGAATCCCGATATTTGCAGTGTTAACGTTACCATTTGCTCTTATCACGAACTTTTCATTCAGATTTAAATCGATTCACTATACATTTAATATTTTCATCTACTCACATTTATTTATTATACATATTACCAATTGTTTTCACCATCACAGGCAAATCTGCAAAAGTGTGTCATCTATTGATAAAAAAAAAACCGCATACAAAGTGATTCAATCTTTTACCTCCGTTCTTTTTTTTTTTTTTTTGGTTATATTCAAAAGATTAATTGACTTTCAAGAATCGTCCATCAACATTTTGAAGTTGGGTCATTGAATATACGCCCATATTTATGCATCGGTGTATGCTAAACGAACATATCTCATTTGTTGGGTTGTTTTATATTATGACGCTTTAAAATGACGCATTTGTCATAATCTTTATCTGAGATAATGTGTCATTTTATAGCGTCATACTATGTCGTATTTTGGTTTAACATTCTGCCCCGTTACAATCTACAATATAATGTAATTATTTAAAATCTATTATCTTATTTCAGCATCTTTTGAAACGGTAATAACAAAATTATAACGTAATATTACACGAATTAACAAATATAATCATAAGCATTCATTTCGAGATTATTTGAACGTTATATTAATTCATATAATTATCTAAATAAAAATTTACTTTAAACGAATTATAATAAATCGAACAAATATTTTAATATTTATTTGTCTGTCACGACTTAACTGTGCGTTTTCTGAACTCTTATGAGTCGTATTGAATACGTATTCTCTGAAATAGTGTCAAGTGTTTTCTACAAATCGCACGATGATGCTCATTAGCACCATGATCCGATAGTTTTCTTTCAAGTCAACGTATAATATAAAAAAATTAATTAATTTCGCGTGACTCAAGTACTTCAACGATTTTCATCGTAATCAAATTATGCTACCTTGTAAATCTACTCACACATACACAAGCAAGTGTTTTTTTTTTTATTTGTTGCACATTTAAAATTTAAAACCATGAACGCATTATGTTAATTATAATAGTTTGTTTTTATAAATATAACGCCATAATTGTATATATAATATGAGCGTTCGGTACAAAAGGTCATATTTTTGGCATTCTATTGATTTTGTGCATAATTTATAATATATATATATATATATATATATACATTGTTTGCAATAATGTATTTAACACGTGAATAATATTGCTTTACGGTATTGTTCGTAACACGGTGATTATTACCGCGTACCTATAATGCGATATTGTAATAATATAATTAAAAAAAGTAATAACAGCTACATTTTCTAATAAATATACAGTTTTCCCTAAAAATCATGCCTTATTTTCATTCATCGGAATTTTTACATAAAAAAAGGTTTATTGTGAAATATTTTTCCTTGGCTCAATCAAAGCAATAACAAATTATAACAGAAATCAAGATTAATTGTTTTTACAAACATTTAATTTAAAATAATAAAAAATAAAATAAAAATTAAAAAATTGTTAATATTCGAAAGACAATACATCAATAATTAATTTATATACATATTTATATTTATATTGAAATAATTAAGTATATAAATGCTTAGTCTGGATTATTACTATATTTTTAATGTACGGCCGGTTTCAAATTAAAAATAATGTAAGATAATATCGAATATAATGTACATTTGTGGAGTAAATTAATTCAAATTTTACCGTTCAAGAAATTATTTTAAGTTGAGAGATTATTGTTTTTTTTATAAATAACGGTGTTGCTGTAGAGAAATGTGCAAGTTTGGTCGAAATCTGCACGTCAATCCTAAGAGTCAGAAAATTTACAACGGATACTCCTCTGAGTTTAAATCAGTCGCTCTCCAGACATTGTTAATAATACTTATATTTTCTCATTTTATTTTATAAAAATTTTAAAAATAATATAATATAACCGGTTCAATCGTTTAAATCACTTGATTGTACATAAAAATTCAATCAAGAACATGTACATTTCATTGAGTTAACAAATTAAAATAATTCTAATTTTGCTAATGGTTAAAAGTCACTATAAGTTACTAATTAATAATAATTAATTTGAGTTCACCTACACTTGGATAATTTATCACTATGCGATTATTTTAAATCTCAAATACTTATTAAAACATACAAATTAAAATTTGCTGTTAAAAACCTGGAATTAAATATATTTAAATATACACTTCACATACAATATTTTATATTTAGGCGATTTAAAAATGTTTACTTTATTCCTCTGGTTTAATCGATAAGCTAAAATTTTAATATAACGTGACTCAATAGTTATAAAAACGTGTTTTATAATGAATATTTTATGGGTTCCTAGAACAGTATTGCACGTGAATTATAAACAGGATTCATCAACTTTATTTTGATAAAAGATTATTTATTTGTATATATTATTAGAACCCTCACTAAATACTTTTAAGCTCGACTACAAAACAAAGATTGTATAAAAACTCTACTTAAGGCAATCAAATATCACATGATAAATAAAACAAACACTAATACATTATTTTACGTCATATATAACGAAAAAAAATTTCCATCATTTTCAGATGTATCAGAATGCTTGTTGAGCAAATCGAACAAACATCAAAACAACTTGGGCGAATTCTCAGGAAAACCTGATCTGCCGTTTTTCGATAAGGCAGCGTCGAAAAATGTGACGGCTCCGTTAGGAAAAACCGCATACCTCAATTGCAGGGTTAAAAATCTCTCCAACAGAACCGTAAGTATTCAAATTACCCAATATTTATTCTGTAGTATCGTTGCTGTATTTCGAAAACCGGATAATATAGTTTATTTTTTATTTTTAATAAAACAAAATTAACATACATAACTAGCTTTTGTATATTTTTTCAAGGATAAGAAATTGCTAGTTCAACATGCAATTTCATAAGAAATCCAAAGAATTTTTGGGAAAAAAAATTACTTAATAATAGTCTGCTTGATTTATCGTTCAAATTAAATATCATTTGAATAAAAAAAAAAAGTCACACGTGGACGTTAATAATTACACAGGGTCGGACGGAACGGTATTATATTCATTGCTAGCGATTATCATATTTGAAATTCATACTAAATTACTTAAGGATTTGTTTGTATTTGAAAATAAAACCACTATTGTTACTTTTCATAAGCAATTATAGATTGTTATCTGTATATCACATAAGGAGTGGTTTTTTTTTAAAAAAAATATATTTGGCTTTTAAAAATATAGATTGAAGTTTCCCTGAACTAATTTAAGTACTATAAGAATTATTTCTATAGACAAAATATTATATTCGATGAAACAGTCTTCTGGGCCCAAAACGTTTCGTGGTAGAAAAAATAAATAATTGGATGAAATCTTGTGTAAGGTTTACGTAGCTTTTTTTTTTTTTATTATTATTATTTTTATTCGTTTATGGTTTATCCAGAAAATGATTAAAATTATTTTAAAGAAGAAAGCGTAGAGCTTATAGTATTTTATAATAGAATATATTGGTTCTCAAAACATTTGAGTGGGATATAAAAAATATGAGCAAATTTCGGGATTTTAGCGAGTTACTATTATATTAAATGTATTTTAAGTTAATAAGGCGTGATCTATTGAGTTCTTAAGAGTAAGCCTTAAAAATTATTTTTTCCGTATCAGTCTTACAACAGTGTATAAATACCATAAATAAAAATAAAATAACCGAAAATCTTTCTTTTATTAGCCAACCTTTATAAATTTTTAACTTTATATTATTTAATTTGAATACGAAATGTGATATTAAATTGAACAAAAATCAATTTTTACGCTGTGCATGTGCACTATGGTAATATTTATTATTATTATATATGTGTGATATTTTTTTGCGTTTATTTTCTATACACACATGTGTGACACATTAAACAGTTTTGATGTAAATTAAAATTTAGTGCTGTTTACAACATTATTTATTGTTATGCCTGACATTAACTGTTCTTATATTTTTAGGAAGATATCTCACAGGTCCCTATAACTATATAATATTAAGAGCAAAATAAAAGCTTTACCACTAAAAGTGCATTTGCTTTTAATTATAAAATCATGTAATATACCTTCATCAGTTATATTTAAACGTTACGTAAACATATTATTTTCTGTATTAAAAAAAAAAAAAATAAAAAATAAATAAATAAAAATATATATCTATATTACAGTACATTATTTAATTTCTGTGCCTATTCAAAATAACTCGTTGGGAGTGCTCAATAAAAAGCCTGTCCTTTATATTATTCGTTTCCGTTTCATTAAAATTATTATTATTTCTTCGACTTTTATCTATCCGATCGACTTCACGCATCGGTGGTTGTTCTCATTTAATCGAATGACAATAAGCACACGACCATGTTCGATGTCCGAAACACATCTTGTCCAATTCTCCAATTATTGGTTGTTCGAAAAATCATGCGGAAATGACATTAGTAAATAATAACAGTATGATATTCCGCAGCTCGGTGGGGATACAACGTGAAAGGAATAAATATTTGTACAACTTGATATTGTTATTTTATATATATATATATATATGTGTGTGTGCGTGTGTGTGTATGTATTGTACATTTTCGCTGAAAAACAAATAAGAACAATAATATGTATCTCAATCAAGATGTAAAAATGCTTTTTTTATTCCGTGACACGTATGAGAAGGGGCTTACGTACCGGGGTTTTCGACACGGTATACATGAAAGCGCAATGTTTATCCGAACCGCCGCAGTCGCACGTACCTGCTACAAACGAGAATGCTAGCCGTGTTTTAATTGTTACACATCGGACCCGCGAAAACCACAAATATCTGCCGAACCTGCACCGGTACCTGCCACAAAAATTATTTATAAAAGTAAGACTTCGCGGGATCTCCGATAGTCGGTTAGAATCTACGCGCGACCGAATGCCCTTATCGAGAACGCACTCCAGTCGCAACGATTTTGGAAGTTTTCCGATGTGCGTGAAGTTGGCTCCTCTAAATCAAGCTAGCGACTCCAAACCTTCACAGACATTTTGCAATTAATTTTTTATAATTTACTATGTAGTTTTCAGAATTTTCATATTAGCGGTTTTTCCGGAAATTTATATTTTTTGTTCGGGGGGCCAACTTTACCACAGCCCCCCCAATTTTAAGTTAGGGATTCCAAACCTTCACAGGAATTATGCAATTAATTTACTATAATTTTCTTTGTAGTTTTCCGAATTTGTATAACTATGATTTTTCTGGAAATTAAAATAATCGTTTAAATACAAGAGTTTCAAGCTATTTCAACAAATTTTTCATCAAGAACAAAGTGTTACAATTGGCTTCTATAATATTCTTTCGTAACGATTTTATTTTTAATCTTGTACCGTTACGTAAGTTTGGTAGTTGAAGATTACGTAATAATGTAATTGGAGCACCAATTTTTAATTTTAGCTTATGAGGAGGAAACCCCGAAGGAAAATGAGAATTGAGAAATTCTTGTGGATAATGAATAGCATCATCTGTTGATGTAACTGTATCAATAGATAGATATTCACGTGAGTGTCCATCGAATTTTAGAAGGATGATATCATTAATTTCTCCTGCTGTTACATTTCTCGGAGAGATAATAGCTCTTTCACATAACCACTGATAAGATTTATTGGACAGATTAAAAATTTCAGGATAAACTGTAGAAATCAACTCTTCCACGTTATTGACCACCCGTCCAATCATGTGATTGACAGAAATGTAACCATTTTCATTTTCTAAAGTTCCATTTCTAATTTTCAACAACTGTGCTGGAAAAATATCGTTCCCTCCGCATAAATAAACTCTCATGTTTGTTCGCAAATAAAGTTTTTCAACATAGTTCCATATATAAGAAGATTTTAAGCAAGCATTAACGACATCAGCTCGAGTACCTTTAGGGATTACTGGTAAGATTTGACGGAAATCACCAGCGAAAACAAATGTTATGCCACCCATAAACTTATTATTAAACCTAAGATCTCTTAATGTTCGATTAATTGCTTTGATATGTGATCTATGAGTCATTATACACTCATTCCACACAACGAATGAGTATTCTTGAAGAATTTTTTCAAGAGGGCCGTTTTTACGAATCGGACAAACGTATTCTGTATCAAATAATACATTTAACGGTAAATTGAAAGTCGAATGAGCAGTTCTGCCGCCACTAAGGAGAGTTGCTGCTATACCAGATGAAGCCACTGCTAATGCAACTTTACCTGAGGATCTAATTTGAGCCAACAACAAATTAATTAGGAATGTTTTTCCTGTACCACCCGGAGCATCTAAAAAAAAAAAACTCTTCATTGATGATTCATTACGCTTTCTGTAATAACATTAAAAGCATATTTTTGATCATTTACTAATTTTGGTAAATTGATTTCTACAAATTCTTGTATATAGTATAGATAGATATATATTTCTATATTTCTTTCTTCCATAGAATATTTCTTCTTGATAACTAAGAAATATAATAATATTTAAATTTAATTAATTTAGATATGCCCACGAAGCCCCTAAACTTCTTTCGTGGAGCCCTAGGGCTCCGCGGATCACAGTGTGAGAATCACTAATTTAATCACTTATAACCAAATTATTTTGAATTTCGATTATATAGACCGTCAAAGAAATGTTGATGTACGATAATGTGTAAACAACAAAATGAATCAATTATTGTTTAATCTCCATGAATAATTATTATTACTAATTTTTTTATTTTTTTGTTTCTTACATATTTTTCAAATATTATCATTGGGTCTTATTATAGGCTGGAGCTATGATCCCGTGTGTTTGATACACGCATTATACATGGTATTTGCAGCACTGATTCTGATATATTATGTATATAAATACAAATTAAATTTATTGTAAAAAATAAATTATTGTTATATTGAACATCCAAATATTTTCAGCATCTTACAACGGGAAATATTCTATGAATCTAAAATATATATATTTTTGTAAATATTAACACTCATATTTAAATATTAAATTTTCTTGATACCTCTAAATTTATTACACTAAACTACTAAGACTTTTTTTAAATTCTCAACATCTGTTGAAGTTATACAAGCGTGATTTAAGTATACCAAGTCAAAAATGTTTTCTTGGGAAAACCGTGAGTATGCAAATTCTGAAAACTACATAGCAAATAATAGAAAATTAATTGCAAAATGTCTGTGAAAATTTGGAGTCGGTAGTTTGATTTAGGTGGCCAACTTCACGCACATCATTTTTCAGGATGCTCCGTGAGAAATTTATATTCGCAACAGCAGCAAAGGCTGCTGCACGTCATCGTACCACGACAAATACGCGTGTATAATGTAAATATTTCTTCTCTCCAATAATCTAAAACGTTTTGTAAACTTGAAGTAACTGGCGTGCATTGCTCGGGTCTCAGATGATCTAACCCTGTGGTCGAAAATATTACATGTATGAATATACACTTAATCGGATTCGTGTATGATTGTTTGGAAATTGTTTTTAATGCGCTGCTATCATTTAAAACCCACCAAAGGCCAGTTGGATAACAGTCATAATATAATCGTTCCTCTGAAGTTTTGATTTCCAGAACTATTTGATCGTGATGTTGTTTACCAATGACAGCGCTAAAGGTAGGCCCGGGCGAGCCGATGCCCGACTAAAATATTTGATTCGATTTAAAAGTTTGAACTAGAATTTTTTTAGTATTATTACGTAAATAAAACACACTTGTAATGTCGAGGTCTAGTTT